ATAAGGGAGGACAAACGGAGCATAAAGAGGTCCAGTCTGGCCCAGCCTGGTGCCCGCGTGCCCATGTGGCTGAAGGACACAGGAGTGGAGGCCACCCATGCCACCTGCAGGGACAAGGCTGCATTTCTGAATCACAGGCGGCCCTGGCTTCATGCACAAGTTCTGTCTTCGGGCCCAGCGGAACCAACCCAGGCTGAGGTGCCAAGCAGACCCAAAAGGAGCAAAGGGCTTGCCCACCCAAATGAGTGGAGCTGCTTTGTCTTCTAATTACAACCCACCAGGCTATTCGGGAGCTAATCATTCTTGCAATAACACGACAACGATGTATGTCTGAAAAGCACAATTCTGCAGGGACAAATCCTGCCGCTCTGCGGGTCCCCAGGAAGGCCAGGCCAAACCCCGGGGAGAACCCAACCCCCGTAATCTCCCTCTCCATAATTAAGAGGCCACAATTTCCACAGCGCCGACCAAATTACAAGCAGAGAGGCTGTTGCTTGATTGCAGACTGCAACCTCTGGGTTTCCTAGCGGGCCACAGGGGGGCAGAGCGTGGGGGGCAGCAGGGCGGGGTGGAATTGGCAGGGATTAAGACGCCCCCCCCTTTGGAAAATCAAAAGCCGTTTGCTCTTCAAGCAGTTTAAAGGGGAAATATTTATCAACACACAACGATGAGGCCTCCCCCGGCAGCAGCACAAGGTCAATGCAGCGACAAAGCGAGGGCAGCTTCTCCAGGCAAGCCCCCCCCCCTCCAAATGTAATTCTCAAAGCTAAAGGCCATTTCGGAAAGTGCCTGGAGCCCCCCCCCCCCAATTCAGGGATCAGCCAAGGGGGAAAAGAGAGAGCAATAAGAGGATTTCACCGGCAATTTCTCTGCCCGTCAAAGATTTCCCAATTCCACAAACTAATCCAGATAGAAAAATCAGCTGGTTTTGCTCAAAGATGCCCCTTAAAACTCTTCCAATAAGTTTTCTCCCCAAGATTTGGTCAAACAAGTCAAGGTGGCGGATGGAGTGGTGGGATCAAAGCGGACATCTTGACCCTGCGGATATCCCTCTCCTGCTGGGATGTAGAGAACGGATAAAAACAACTGGAGCTGTTTTCATAGGGATCTATTTCAGGGGTCTCCAACTGTGGCCACTTTAAGCCTGGTGGACTTCAACTCCCAGAATTCCCCAGCCAGCAAAGCTGGGAGTTGAAGTCCTCCAGGCTTAAAGTGGCCGAGGTTGGAGACCCCTCATCTATTTGTCCTCAGGTGAACCAAGGGCCTGCGTTCGCCCCCATCTTCCTCACGTGCCAACCTGAGACTGAAACCATTTCTATGCCAATAAAAGGAGGACCCCCCACCCCCAAGACTGACACACAAGGAGGGGAAGCCAAAGCACCATAAATGGATTGCAGAACCCAGGCCGGGGGGGGGGGGGGGCGACCTGCAGCCCCTGCCTAAAAGGAACCAGATGCCACCAAGTACGGAAGAAAAGCTGAGACGTAACGTTCCAAGACAAGAACCGCTGGCCCAATCTAACCTCCCTGCAGAGGTGCTGGACTACAAGCCCCAGCATCCTCAACCCGCAACCGAGACGATGGGCGCGCCGTTCCAAGAAATTCAAAGTCCGAAAGATGACCAAGAGCAGCCGAGCCTAATAAGGGGATTGGGGCCCTCAGTCATTTATAACTGGTGTGAAAATAGCTGTGATATGTAGGCTGACAACTGGCAGCGAAGAATGAGATAAAAATACACCCGCAGGCCCCCTTTGCAACTGCCAAGCGCTGGTCAGGAGAGGGGTCTTCATTTAGAAGCCCCAGGGTGCAACGCGGCTCCCTTCCCACAGCCAAGCTGCACCCGGCTGGACAGGGCATCATCTCGGGGGCGCAATTCCCGTGCCAGGGCAGAAGGCTGGTCCAGCCCTCCCTGAAATGCCAGCCCTCCGTTAGGAGGGGAGGGACGGGCCAAGCCCCCAAACTGCGTAGTTTACACCCTGTGTTTGACCCCCAAATGGCAGAAACGAATCACGTGACGACTTAGCCTGCCTGTCCGCCAGCTCAAAGCCATAAATATTTCTGCAGGAACACCAGCCTTGTCCTCCCTCCCCGCCTCCCCCGCCAAGAAGGATGCCCGTGCTCGATTCACCATGCCAACCAGCCAGCCTTCGGTTCATCTTCTTCCCTGCACTCGGATGCATATTCATGCATTGGCTCAAAGCCTCCACTTAATTATCAGCCATTATTTGATTAGCGGGGAAACGGTCTTCTTGTGCACGACAAATGAAAGCCAACCTCACCAGCTTCAGGTACGAGCTCTTTGGGCTGCTTTGGGCGGCAAGGCCGTGGGCAAGGCGGACCCAACCCATTCAAGTCCTCACCGAAAGCCTCTACAGGCATGGGAAATGCTACTCCAAAGAGAAAGATGTGCGTGCATCGCATTCACCAGCCCATCGGTCACACTTCACAGCAGGGTCTGAACTGCATTTGAAAATCACATGGAAAATATTTGGGACTCATCACGGGAAGCAGCTCAAGAGTGTCCCCCAAAGAAAAACCGGCTGAGAATTTTGGAACCTCTTCCACATATTCAGTTCACGTCTCTTTTCTTTTTTTTGGGGGGGGGGGGGAGTCCAGATTCAGCCAGAGACTTTGGGGCGCCGCTATCAGAGGCCAAGCCTGCGCACTAGACCATCACGCGCGCTTTGGGGCATCATCCCCGGGGCCAATCCAAGCCCAGGAAGGCATCGTCATGGCTTACCAGGCTGTGAGGACCAAGCCAATTAAGTCAAGGCACAGTTAACGAGATGTGAACCGATATTCCCCGGGGATGATTAAGTGAAAATCCAGGGCACAGAAAGTGACTGGCAGCTGCCAAGCCTTGCAGAGCTGGCTGGTCCGCCGCCCCCCAAAAGTCAGATCTTCACAGACACAGATCCCAAGCCAGGTAGGCCAGGACAACCCACCGGGGCGCCCTGGGATGCCCCTGCAGAAGCCATGGGGGTGACAGACACCCTGTTGGGTCTTCTGGAATGCAGGAGGGCAGGTGGGCAGGCTGGGCTCTCAAGGGCCTCTCTCCCCTGGAGAGGATTTGGGGACCCCTTGGGGCCTCTTAGCCGGTCCGGTGGTCCTGCCTGCCTGCCTTTTAAGGGGGAGGGGAAAACACCTTCAAGAGCCACCTGTCCCATCCTCAAGAGAGATTCAACTCGCACTGACCCCACAATTACAACCGTTGCACCAACTAATCTAGTGACCCCCCTCAATGAACCCAAAGAATTCAAAACACGCGGAGGAACATCCGTGCCTGTGTGCGCAAGAGCAGACATTCATTCGGCTGATCCTCCTGGTGCCGAGACTGTCTGCTCTCTTTGCCCGGAAGAAGGCAAGCGGCTGGGCGCAGGAAGAGCTAATCGAGGCAAAGAAAGTGCCTTCCTCGACCCAGATGGAAGGGCCCACATGGGCCTCTTGGGTGCAGAGCAGCGGCTGCCTGCCGACCACTCCGCCAGCATCATCGGGCACAGCCTCAGGTTTCCACCGGAAGGACGGCAGCCCCAGGCCACTCAAGGGCTCTTCCTGACACCAATTCAACACTGGGAACTTTTCAACAAAGCCTCCCTCAAGGCCCACAATTAGTGCCCTTGGAGACAATTGCCTCACAGCTGAAGGACGGTGCAGGGGAGGGTCTATCCAGCCCCCTCCCCAAAGGGGGCCAGCTCTTCCTTGCACAGCCTCTCTCCTTGGGGCACTGCCTCACACAGCAGGCAATTTGGGGGGCTCGGCATTAGTTGCCATCAGGAAGACCCCCCCTGCCCCCTATTGCAACCCCTCCCAACTGAGCTTCCGGGGGTGCAAATCAGCGTCTGGCAACTTTAAGCCGGGCGGACTTCCATTCCCAGAATTCCACCCGGCCCGGTTAGGGCCCTCTGGGAGTTGGAGTCCGCACATCTGGGGCCGAGGAGGGGGGCAAAAGAGGGGCAGGCGCCGACCCCAAAGGTCTCCCGAAAGCCCCGTGCCCGCCGAGCCCAGCCCCGCGGCGCTCCCAGGGCCCCCAGCCGGCACAGCCCGCCCTGGCAAGGCTGCTTTCCAGCCCTTCGCCCGCCCGGCCCGGGACGCGCCCCAGGCGGAGGCCTTTCCGGGGGGAGAGGCGGGGGGGCGCGGGGGGGGGGGGGGCTCCAGCCGGAAGGTCTCACCTCGGGCCGGCCGAACCCTCCGCGCCCGCCGGCAGCGTCCCGGGGCGCAAGCGGCGCTGGCTCGACCTCGCGCGCTGCCCAGCAGGGAGGGCGGAGCGGGGCGCGGCTCCCCCGCAGGAGCCCCTCCGCGCCCGCCGCCCTCGGCCCGGGAGCAGCGGCCCAGCGGGAGCCCGCAGCCCCGCGGCGAAGGCCGGCCCGGAGCCCGCCTGCCCCCCGCGCCGCCTCCCTGGCCTTCGCGCGCCGGGGTCCCCGGGCCGCCCGACCGCGGGGATGCCGGCGCTGGCCGAGGCAGGTGTTGGTCGGCCGGCCCGCCGGAGCCCCAGCAGCCCCCTCCCCGCCTCGCCGCAGCGGCCCCACCAGCGCAGCCCCCGCCGCAGCCTTACCGGCTCGTGGGGCGACCCGGGCGGGAGCCTTTCCGCGCCGCCGCCGCCTCCTCCTCCGCGGCCGGCTCGCGCGGCACTGGCAGCCGGCGCGCGGGGCGGGGGGAGGGCGGCGGGCGGGCTTCGGCCAGGAGGCGGCGGCGGCGGCAGCGACCCCCGGCCCAGGGAGGGCAGGAAGCGCGTCATCAGGCCGGGACCAACCGGCCGGCCAGCTGGGCTTCCCCGCCCGCGGCACACCTGCCTCCGCGCCCGCGCTCCCCGGGCAGCGCCTGCCGCTCGGCCTCCGCAGGGAAGTCCGCCGCCCCCGCCCGGAGCCCGCCCGGCCGAGGCCCGACGCCCTGGGGAGGCGGTGCCTGCGAACGCCGGGAGGACGAAGCCCCGTTGCGCCCGGCGGAACCCGGGAGGGATGGGGGGGGGGCTCCGGGCGGCAGCCGCTCGGCCCTTCTCCTTACCGGGCGGCGGCGGGCAGGGCTTCCCGGCTGCCTGCGAACCCTTCCCTGCGTCCGGCGGCGCGGAAGGGGCTGAGGCGAGGCGGGGCGGCCGCCCAGCGAGTCCGCGCGCAGAACCGGCGATGCGCGGCAGGCTCAGCTGGAAGCAATTTGAGGGCGGGGGGGGGGGGGGCGGGCGTAGGAGGCGCAGAGCCCAACTAGCCCTGGTTAGTGGCGAGCAGGAGAGCCCGGCCGAGGCGGCTCAGGAGCTGCCTTTGCAACCCGAGGCGGCCGGGGGGAGCGCAGCCCCGTGTAGCTGCGGCCGTGTGAAGACAACCTCGCTCGCGGTTCAAGAGGTGCAAAAAGTAAACCAGGAGGGCCAAAGTCTCCGCCCTACTACACAACCTTGGAGTAAGTCCGTGCTTGGGAATGGCGTGGAATAGATTAAGCGGAGGCCGTTGCTACATCCGGAACCACCGAAGTTCTGCTCCGTCCCGGGTGCTGGGTGAGAAAGCTGCGGCTCCGTTCACCCGAAGGGTTTTTTTTTTCCTCTCTCAAACAGGGAGGGGTTGAAAAATAAGGCAAGGCTGCCCCCTGCTGGCAGGTAAAGGGAGAGGCGACCCACATCTGTCCTTCCATCCATCCATCCTTCCAGTAGCTCAGCCCACCCGAAGGAGGACTCTGGAAGGATGGAGCAGCCTTACACCCGGAGCAGAGACAGGGGTGGGGGTGGGCGGTGGTTGAACGAGAGCCGAGATGCCTGCTCTCATCAGGACCAGCACTCTCCCTCCTGAGGCACGGCCTGTTGGTTCAAGTAGGCCAAGATTCAGATGTGCAGAAGTCCAACTCCCAGAATTTTTGCCCTTCTTGATAAACACTGGTCTATGGTAAAGAATCAGCACTAATGGTAGCCTCTTTTCTTAAGTGGCAGTTTAGAAAAACAGATGCCCTTTAATACAATTAATGAGTTGCTACCAGACTGGCCTCTTTCGCCTGGGGTCCAGAGAGTGAAAATTTCAGTTAAGGAGCATGTCCGGCCATCCTGCCTCATTGACCAATGACCTCCCCAGCCCCTTCAAGTCACAGGCGCTTGACGCTCCCCTCAGAATCCACGTGTTAAATTCATTACAAGAAGGTCCTACGTGGCTCTTGTGACTTCATAGACGTCATATTGTTTTCTTTCTTTTAAAAAAAACTTTATTTAAAAAAAAACATACATACACAACAAAACAATCCTTGCAAAGAAAGAAAGTTGCAATGGAATTGCCAGCCCGCATTGCCCAAACCTTCCAAGCAGGAAAGGCAGCTGAGGAAGCGAAGAGAGAACCAGCTGGGCTTGTGAAGGGCACCCAGTGGTCAGAAAAGGCCTTTACCCTCTTATCTGTTTCAAGGCAGCGCCTAGTGAGATGGTGGGCACTGCTGCCGCCTTCAAACCTTTGCAAATCGGAGCAGAACAACGGGAGGAGAGAGGATGCCTGCGGGAGGCAGAGTTTTTACTCACAAAGCGTTTAGACCCTTAAAAGGCGTTTGCATGTGTGGTCATAAACCTCCCCGGCACTTGGATTGTGTTAGAAAGGACTCGGCTGCCATTCTTGGCACTGGCAAACTTACGTCCAATGTAATTGGGTACTATACCCACCCAAGCAAACTTTCCTGGTGTTGCACAGGATCCAAAATAGCGATTCTGATCCAAATGATATAGACCACGGGGGCCAAACTCACAGCATCACAGTGGCACCACGGTGACGTATTGGGGCTTCCCCCCCCCTTCACTAAACCGGGCGTGGGTGTGGCCAGCGTGTGATGCATCCGGCTCGTGGCCCGGGAGTTTGATAGACCTGCTCTAGACGAGGAATGTCCAACCTTGGCAACTTGAAGGCCTGTGGACTTCCAACTCCCAGAATCCCCCAGCCAGCCCTGCAGGCGGGCAGCTATGGCCCCTTGAGACCCACGGACTTCAACTCTCGGGCTTCCCAAGCCGACATGGAGTCGAAACCCAGCAGTCGCAGAGGGGCCACAGTTGCCCACCCACCCCTGATCCCATGGCATTTGAACGGCCAGCCTTTGAACTGATTTCAGAGGAAACACTTCAGATCAATGCCAACGTGAGAATGCCCGTTTGTGGTGATCCTTTGGGGCGCGGCTGCCTGCCAACATCTGTAGGGTGGCCTTTTGTCCTGCAGTTTTATTCCAATTCTCCTCTGCAGCTCCTGCTTGAGATTCACACCCCTGGGTGCCTTTGAAGATTTGGCAAGACAAATGGTGGCCGTGGCTGCCCTGGACTGTGCACGCACGCACGCACGCGCACACACACACACACACACACACACACACACACAGCCGAGATCCTGCGGAGGAGCTGCGAAGGAGACTCTCACAGTCCCCAAAGTGCATTTCCTGTCTGGGAGAGCTGCCAAAAGCTAATTGGTTTCCCCAGCAAAAGCCATTATGATTAGTCTTGTTGCACTGCTAACTTTAATAAACTGGGAACATCTGCTTCCAAGATGTCCGAGGAGGCCCCAACGTTGCACACTTTTTGCACAAACCTTTCACATTCCGGTTGATCCCGTGGTTATTCGCAGGAGGGGAAAAGATTCTGACATACTTCTTATTCAGGGGAAACAAATTCTCTTTCTAAAGCCCCGAAAGGATGGTGTCTTCGGAACCTTTCTTATTGCAATACCAACTTGATTTACAAAGGGAGCTTTCGGTTCGTCTGGAAAGGGCTGAGCCACAGGCATGGAGCCTTGGGGGCATCTTCAGAAGACCCCACATCCGGGTTTAGTCCCTCCAAGGCGATGGGGATATGTTCCTGATAGCCTAGCAGTGCAAGCTGATGTGTTTTACGCTTTCTCCTCACTATAAAATCCTTTTTGATTTCTCGCCCTTTCTTCTCTGATAGTTCTGTATATTCCATGCAGAATGTTTTTAGCAAGCATTTGTACATGCTTGCAAATTTTGAAAATCTGGAAGAATCACAAACAGCTTCTTCTGACACTGGTTAGAAATGCCCGCCGACCAGTTGCACAACCGGCGTCCTCTCACCAAAGGGAGGCTTGGACGCTGTTGCATGGCTGTCATCCTAAAAAGAAATCACTTCCCATTCAGTGTGACGGCCGAGTCAGGCTGTGTTCTGCAAGGCTCCTGCCTCAATTGGTGTGCAAGCAACTCACAGCTTCAACCCCTTGGCTTTGAATTCTATGGGACTTACTGCTGCCTCTCAGTATTTCCTGGCCACAGGACCAAAGGAAGGAAGAGAATGTCCCTTTCAGAGATAATGCAGTGGACAACTAGGTTCAGCAGGAGATCCCTTGGTGGCTTCCTCTCCGGCCACGCCTGGGATGGAGTCCCGCCACTCACCGCTGGTCATCCCTTTTCCACTTTCCTTCCATATCCCCAGCATTATCCCCAGGGCAGGAATTCTATTGAATTCTACTGCAGAGTGCAACATTAACGCAATTATCAGGGGTTTCCAATTCAATTGTATAGAATGGGAAGGATGTGTGTTTGTGGTTATTTTCATAGTCGTAATATAGACTGAAGAAGGTATTTACTTTCGTTGTACGAGGTGCAATGACAATAAAGTAATTAGAGACTTCTCAAAGAAGCCAGAACTCTCCACTTACTGACCCCAGGTCATCAGGTGGATGGTGGCTCTTGGTGACTGCAGAGATAGACGTTCTCCAGGAAGGTCTGTCCCCAGTGCGGCCTTCGGGTCTCCCAACGGGGAATTTGCTCATCACTTGTGGCTGTTCAGCCTCTTCTTCTCTTTCCTTCGGGCTTCCCAACAAGGTGCCCTGGTCCTCTGTGCCTTGAAAGAGAATCCCGGGTCGATTTGCTCAATGACCCATTTATTGGCTTGCTGGGCCGTCCGTAGCATTGCCAGGCGTCTCCTTCCACACCAAAGCTCCCCTCAGCCTTCCTGAACTTCTTTGCATCACACAGAGAAGGAGCTTCCTCCTTCTGTACTCTCACCACTTCCTCCAAGGAACGCAGGGCCACGATTCGGACTCAGCCCTGCCACGAGACTAAGAGGTGTCCTGCTCCCCGTGGCTGTTGAAGTCATGCAAACCACGGCACGCCTTGGACGGGATTCCAGAGTGGAAACTCACCCACATCTATAACTGAAAGGGACGATGAATCCATTTTATATGCCTGCAATTTTCAGTCCAATGCTGTGAATGAATACAGCTGGAATCTGCCCGTCCCAATTACAAAATACCCCAGGCTTGAAGACAATTTAGTGCTTTTCCAAGGTCTGTTTGGATGGGATTCCTGTGGGTCAAGGGTCCTAGATCCAGCCCTGGCCTCTCAAGCAGGAAATGGCCTTCCTGGAAACATCCACCAGGGTTGTTTTTTTTTCCAGTTTCCCTCCCCACGTTCCCGGGCAGGTATCCTCAGACCCCCAAATCACCAGCCTCCTGAGACTGAAAATAACCTCGGCTGAGGAGTGGCCAAAGACGTGAAACAAGGGAAGACTTGAACAAAGGCAGCCCGGGCTCCTTTGCAACCCCAGTGGGGAGTTCTGGTGCCCCTCTACCTTTAAGATGGGTGGGCTTTTGTGACCCCTGGGGGTAGGGGTGCTGCCCGCTTAGGGCACCTGCCTTCTTTATGTGGGGCAGGCGGTGAGCTCCAATGGCCTTGTCCTCTACCACAGTGGGCCACATGGCTTCAGGAGGTCCCCACCTGTCAGTCCCTCTGCTAGGGAGCAAAACTGCACCTGGGATTTCTGTAAGCGGAGCTCCGTATTTGTGACAATGTGCAGGAGATTCCTTGTCAGAAGAACTCTTACGCAGGCCAGGTAGGTCATGATGCTGTGGTTGCGCTTGCTTGACAGGATGCTCAACGTAGACACAACGCACTCAGTTAGTTTAATTTTCTCTGCCTGCACACTGTGTTATGCCAAAATGCATTTGGGGCTCCTCCAAGTCTCACTTGAAGGTGGTTGCAGACTTTGGATGTATGAAACGGCCTTTTCCCACAGCTGCCAGCAGGTGGAGTTGCTGACCCAAGCAAAGATCTGCCCCATCCTTGCCTGCTGCCTGCCACAAAAGAGGGCACCGTTTCCTGCTTGTTAGGCTTTTTCAAGGAGCCTCCTCTGCTGCGAAGATGCCAAACGTCCTTGCCAAACATCTCAGTCCTCTTCCGGAGGAGCTCAGGAGCTGAAAATAAAACCAGCTCATCAGGCAGACCTGAAACAGAGGAAGGGAGTCTGGCTCAGGGCGGCTTCCTGGGCCCACCTGGGCCTGCTGCCGGCCACCCCGACTGGAAGGGCCCGAGGCCTCTCTGGCTTCTGGGACGCGCAGAGAGACTCTTGGGACTGTGGCGGGCAGTGGACACCTGGCCCAGGAAACGGGGCTGCTGACACAAGAGCTGCAACCCCTTCCCCTAAGAAACGAGGGTGTGGCAGCCCACCCAGTGGGTTGGACTGGTGCCATTTCTAGGGCCAGGGGCAGGTTTGGAAGGGGGAAGGGTCAGAGGGGCTCTCCCTCACAAGGCTGAACCCTGAGGGGACAGAACCGAAGGGTCAGAGGGACTTGGGAGATCATTTAGTCCAACACTATGGCAAACCCCGCCCCCCATTGAAAAAGCCCAAGGCAGACCCCCACCCCGAAATCTTCCTTGCCATTTATGCCCACTGAGTGCCCCTTTTCTTGCACAAGGGTGCCTTTCTGTGCCCCCCCCCCAAAGGCCTGCCCTCCTTCCCCCCGGGCAGGCCCCCGGCCCCCCCCCCCCCCCCCCCCGGGGGCCCCCCAGAACCCCCCCCCCCCCCCCAGGTCACTGGCCACTGTCGCCTCCCAAGCGCTTCTTTCCACCGTCTCCGCTGGCCCCTCCACGGGGGCCCTCCAGGGATAAACCAAACCGGCTCCGATGGATTCTCTCCGGCCCTTTGCCACGCAAGGTGGGGAATCGGCCAGGGTGGACTTGGAGGGCGCCCCCCAAAAGGGGAGTCCTCGCATCGCGGCAGGATCCGGGAGCGCCGACGACGCAAAGCGCCCCGACTTCAGCCTCCAGCCGCCGCGGACGAGCCCCGACTCCGGCCTCCCTTGAGCCGCCCCCGCCTGCGCGCTCCCGAGCCAGTGGGAGCCGCCCCCGGTCCGTCGCGGCGCGGCGATTGGGCTCCCGGCGGCGAGCCGGGCCATAAAAGGGCGAGCCCGCGGCGGGGGCGGCCACTGCACGACCGCCGGCAGCCCGGGAAAGCCGCTCCAGCGCGGGGGAAGCGGCAGCGGCGGCGTCTCGGACCGCGAAGGAGCCCGCGGAGCCGCGCCAGGTCCGCCCGCCCGGCCTCCCCCGCTGTGCCCGGCCCGTTCGGCTGCTTCGATCGGGCGGGGGCTCCTCCCGTCGGAAGCCCGGTAAGGTCCCGCCGCCGCTTTCCGTCTCCGCCCCGTCCACACGCGCCCCTTGCGCGGCGGCCCTGCAGCATCCTCCCCACCGAGGCAGGGGCTGGGGAGGGGGCAGTCCCGGGGCGAGGCTCGGGGGCGCGGGAGGGACCCGCGGCGGGAGGAGCGAGCAGCTCTGCCCCGGTGGCCTCGGCGGGCGGGCATTGCAGGCGCGGGCGCTCCGGCCGGAGTCTTCACCGCCGGCTCCTCCTTTCTCCCCGCAGGCAGGCAGTTCCCGGCGCCCCGATGTGGTTCTTGGAGAAGATGCGGGCGTCCCCCGGAGAAGCCGCCGGCGCCGGCGCGCTGGGCCCCTGGTTCCTGGCGGTGCCCTCCGAGAAGGGCCAGGCGGCGGCTGCCCTCGCCTTCCCGAACATCTTGACCCCAGACCGCATCCCGGAGTTCTGCATCCCGCCGCGGCTGAGCAGCGCCCCGCCGGCCAAGAGCCCCGGCCCGGGCCCGACCTTCCAGCCCCGCCGCAGCCTGACTGAGCCGGGCTTGCAGGAGGCGGCCTCCCTGGGCTCCTTCCCCTTCCCGCCCCACCTCATCCAGGTGGAGAGCGTGGAGGAGCTCGTGGCGCCGGAGCAGGGCGGCACCAACTCGGACCCCCAGTCGCAGGCCGCCCTCTCTCTGCCCCACGTGCCCCGGGCCCAGAGCTCCTACGGCTTCTGCGTGCTGCTGGAGAGCCCCCACACCCGGAGGAAAGAGTCCATCTTCCACAGCGAGGCCTCGGGCAGCTCCCTGGCCTTGCCCCGGTCCCGGTCCAGCAGCTACAGCGGCAGGGAGCCGGCCTCCAGCCCGCTGGCCGTCCGCCAGCCCCTCCCCAGCAGGCAAGGCGCCTGGGATAGCGACACGGCCTCCTCCAGCGAGTCCTCGCCCTTCGGCTCACCCCTGCTGGGCAGGTCTCCCACCCGGCCCTGCGGCCTCCTCAAAGCCCGGAGCCAGGAGCGGCTGCTGGGCAAACCGTGGAGGGCCCGGAGGCTGTCCGGCACCACGTGGGCCGGCTCCCTGTCTTTGGACGAGGGCAGTTCCACGGACAGCAGCCCTGGGTCTCCCCGGCGCTCTTCAGAGAACCCCCTGCCGGCCCCCGGCCTCCTCCCCCTGCCGGGCCTCCCCCTGGACTACCCCTGTGGCCCGGAGCGGCTGGGCCGGGAGGCCACGGTGGCGATGGACAGGGGGGGCCTGCTGCGCCTCTCCTCCGAGCACTGCCCCGCCAACCAGCGCCTCCGCATCCGCCTGATCAGCGTGGAGGGTCTCTATGGGGAGGCCCCCCTGGAGCCCAAGAGCATCAACTGCTGCATCACCTTCGCGCTCCTGCCGGGGAAGCTGCAGAAGCAGCGCAGCACCGTCATCAAGAGGAGCCGTAACCCCATCTTCAACGAGGACTTCTTCTTCCTGGGCGTCTCCGAGGAGCACCTGCGCTGGCTCTCTCTCCGGATGAAGGCCCTGAACAAGGGGGCCAGCATGAAGAGGGACTTGGTGCTGGGGGAAAGTGAAGTGCCTTTGATGCAGATTTTGGCCGCCTGAGAAACCCACGGCCACCCCCGGAGATCTATTTATTTATTTATTCTCTGTGTCTTAATTTTTTTTTTTTAAAATAAAGTGGAATTTTATTTATGCACACCTGCCTTTGGTTCCTAAATCACGCTGCTTTGGGATTCCAGGCCTGGAGTGCAACCTGGAAGGGGCCCCTCTCACCAGGTCCGTTGGGCTGTTTTCAGAGTTGCACGCCCAGGATGGCAGCTAATCCAAGCTCCGCTTAAGACTCCCCAAGAGGAGAATGTAAACAGGTTTATCTCGCACTAAAGTGGGAGGTTTTGGCGTATCTGCGTAAGGTGGTGAGGCGAGCTCTTGGCCGACTGTTGCCCCTTCAGGCCTGTGGATGGAGCAGAACTCGGGGTGGTTGAAGGTGGGACTCTGAACGGGGGACTCCGGCTGGGAAGGGGGCCTCCTTTTCTGCATTCAGGGCCTCGAGGAGGAAGTGAAACCGAGCGGAGGAAGTAATTCATCAGCCAGGAGAGACCTCTGTCTTCCTGCGGGAGGACGCATAAATCTGTCTTCTGAATCTTCTCACTTTCTGTGGCTCCCTGAGGGACCCAGCCGTCCTTCCGCCCTTTTTAGCAAAGGAAACCGTTCTTCCTGAAGTGCTTGGCCAAAGCGGTCAGAAAAGCTGGTCAGAGGCTTTTCCCAGCTTGGAAGGAAGACTGTTCCTTTCCACACATCACTCTTCCCTTGACAAGGCAGCTGGTAATTCCAGGGAAACTCCTTGGACGCCTGTGTAGTGTTTGGACACAGGCTTCTTCTTGTCCTGGGGGCTTTCCAGAAGAAAGCCCCCACCAAAACAAGGAAGCCTCAGGCCCTCCAGAGCCTCCCCAAGAGGCTCTCCCTGGAGACCAAAGTTTGAAAGACAAGCACGGAAGCATCGGAGTCCAGCAGCGTTCCTCCTGCTGCCTGTCTGACTCCCAGAGAAAGTACCTTGGGCTGGGTAAAGATAGGTAAGCGGGTGGAGTTCGCCTGGTGGAGCGTCCCCCTCGCCCCACCTTGGAGAAAGGAACAGGCGCTCCACGGCTTGACCTGAGCCCAAAGCAACTGCTTTGTGGGCGGCTGCGGAGCTCCCCAGCACTCGGAAAGCGGCACAGAAAGAGCCGTGAAAGCGCTGAGGTCCATCGGTGAAGATCAGTGGGAATCCCCGGCTCCTCTGCCACACGCAGACAGGCAGGCAGGCAGAAGGAAGCCGGTCCCTTCCCAGGTCCCCGGTCGTCTCTCTCCTTGGACCGGTTTGCCTTCCGCGTCGTGCCAGTGGCCCTGGGCAGGTCTTGGGCAGTGGAGGGATTCAGCCAGTTCTCACCACTTTGGGAGAAGCAGCTGTTAACTCTGAGCAGTTTGGTGAACTGGTTGTGGGAAGACATCATTAGGGCAGAGATACCGGTGGTTAAATTATTCGAATCCCACCGCTGGTCTTGGGGCTTTCCATTAGCCCCGCAATGTGGATTCCATGGTGAAGCCCTTCATAGCTCTGGCGGGCACATCCAGGGGAGCTACGTGGGGATCAGGAAAGGGAGGACTAACGGAATAACTCGGGGGGGGGGTCGTTCAGCTGACAAACAGCAGCCAGGTGGGCAAAGGAGGGGATCCAAAGGTGAGGTTGGAAAGGTGAGGAGGGCCTGGCAGGTCCCAGAGGGGATGAGGGGCCAGCCCTGAGGTGTCAGTCAGGACCTGGTTGTGGGGAAGGCGCCAAGGGCCAAGTCCTGCTTGGGTGGGGGCAGCTGTTGCGGGATGGAAAAGGCTTTGATCCAGTCCAGCTGCTCAACTCCACAGAGCCCTGAAGTGCCAAGCAGGAACCTCAGAGGATCTGGAAGGAAATGGTGCTCAGGTCCTTTCGGCTCCCGAGGAAGCCCCGCCTGGCCAATTTACACACTCCACACCCCCCACACCCCATCCCTTTTATTGATCTGGGTTCTTGCAACCTTTCCTAGAAAAAAACTCTGGAAAAGGGCAGCTTGACAAACAAAGACTCCAGTGTAAGAAAGTGCCTGCAGGCGGTTGCCAGGCCACTAATTACAACCTAGCGGAGGAAAAGAAGTGAATGTGTGTGTAGTGTGTGGGTGGGGGGGAGAGAGAGTGAGTGTTGGGGGAGCCAAGATTAATCCTGCCTGGGAAGAAGAAGAAGAAGAAGGTGAAGGACATGCCAGAGCCTCCGCCCTGTGCAGGGCAGCGGTGGTTCCCACGACCCACGCCAGGAGCACCTCTTTCCCCTGGGAGTCCCGCTGGGCCCGGGAGCCTCCTGCAAACAGCCTTTCCAGACTGGCTTCCTTGCAGGTGTTCAGTGGCCCAAGGGGATCAGGCCCATCTCCTCACTCATCCCCTCTTAAGATTCGGGCCTGCTTCAGCCCCTTCTTTCTAAAGCTGCTGCTGCCGCCGCCTTTTCGTAAGGCTTCTCTGCTTCCTTTCTTAGGTCAGATTTTTTTTGGCAGCTCTTCAGAAGGAAGCCATTCTTCCCAAAGAAAACACTCACATAATTCCCACTAGTAACATCAATGGAGAGGAAGCGGATGAAGCTCCAGGATTTTCAGCAACCAAAATGATTTTCTAGTTCACTTTGCATTGGGCTGCAGACTTTCTTGACTTTCGGCGACCTTCCTGTAACCCGGCAAAGGTTTGGCCCTTTCGCTGATCACAGGAAAGCTTGCAGCAGGTGGCTGGCATACATCTCGCCTCAACTGTGATTGGACTGAGAACGATGAGGATATTCCTCCAGTTTTTCCTTAATGGGCCTCAAGGCACGACAAGGGCTACCAAACAGGCTCGCCCAAGTCTTAAGTGTAAAAGGGCTTCTGGTCGATCCCCAGGAATGGTGAATTTGGTAGGCTCTGGAAGCCTCTGACGGTGTCCACTTTCTCTGGGGGAAGTAAGAGGGCCGGCTGCTCCATCCTCACTGGTGTTTTAAAAACGGCCTTAAAAGCCAGTTTCCCTCAAGAGACCTTTAACGGAGATATTGTTCTGTTCTGAAGGTTGGACAAGGTGGTTTTCTAGAGCAAATTTGCTTCCAAGGAGTCCTAAGGTTTTCCTAGTTTTGCTCCTCATTCTTCTACCTGCATCGGAAGATGCAAACCCCTTTCGAATGAGGCTATGAATTCAGGATGCGAGTGACCAGAGACAGTAAAAAAGCAGCCTGCAAAACTAGGTGTGTTCATTCCTGGTTCAACAGCACGGCCATAGTAGCAACTACTGAAGCAAGTGGACGAGTAGAAAGAGGATGGGGTGGCAGCAATAACAGGGACTCCATGAACGATCCGCCCTCTGCAGAAAGGGTCCGCGGAGCACATGGCCAGCATAAGGAAGGGGCATGTTTGCCACAGGGCTTTTTCCTATTCCTGCCTGTGATCCCTCTGGGAAAAGGGCAGGAACATGCTTGCCGATTGCATGTGCACACAGCAGGCGCATGAGTCAGCCCCCCCCCCCCCCCCCGTTGGACACCTAAGGGGGATCTGACCCGTCTCCCCCAACCGGGGGGGGGGATGGGCTGCAGCGCCTGCCATTCAGCAGCTGGGGACAAAGAAGAGAAAATAATGGCTTTTTTTGGTACTGAGGTGAAGTCAGAAATCCAAACAGGGCTGGACCAAGGGTGGAGGATCTGCAACTCAGGGCAGATGCCAGCTTTGGGGGTGGGGGGTGGGGGGCAGTCAGTCTGTCAATCAATCACTGCTGAGAGAAAGCAACCACGTCTGTATCCTTGCCAACTAGCAGACTAGTCAGTTCAGTTGTGGTCCTGAATTGCGCCCCCCCGCTCAAAGAACACCCCTCCCACTGGCACACCGACTTGGCCCCCAGCCCTAAGCACCTCAAGGGCACCCACCCCTCATAACAATGGCCAGAGGTTCTGGAAAGTGGACGTTACAGGTGCGAAGCATCCCTTGGCAGGTCCATGCGTGCTCTAAGTGCTTGACTTTTGCTCAGGGTGCCGTAGAAAAGTTTAGGCCAACTTTACGCCTGCTGCTTTTAGCAGCCACGAAGAACATGGATGGTTTTGCAAGAATACCCAAAACACAGACAATACAGATGTTGTCCCTTGGCTGCCCAGCTGTTCCGCATGCCTGGACTACAGTGGACAAAATGTTCCAGCTCCTTCCTTGGCTGCAGAGGTGCGATGCCATTTCCTGCAGCTCGTCCTTCGCTCCCCTGGATGAAGGGGGGTGCAGCTGAAGGGAGAGGAAGAGGAAGACCCTCTGCGGGAAAGGGAGCGCAAGTAGGATTGTGGCAAGTCCCACCGGGAGGCTGCAAACCTTGAGCCGGCGGCCCAGCGGCACCAGCGAGACAAACGGGCTAATGATTAATTTTCGTCAGGGCCTCTTCCGGCCCATCCTGAAAATATTATTCAGGAAAATGCCACGTAAGAGCCCTCTGTTTGTTCTGCATTGGGTAAAGAGCTACCCCCGCCCCAGAATGACGGTTGCAAAAGGGGGAAAGCACCCCCAAATGATGACAGGGGATGTCTTTTCCCATCTTCTCCGCCCCCTGTCCCCCCCTGCCTCTTTGTGTCTTCCAGGGCCGGCAACTTCTTTGGGAAGCAAGACTCGGATTTGCCTGGCACGTCACCCTGGAATCTGGCCTTCTAGGTCCCTCGGAAGAAGAGGGGGTCATTGGCAAAACCCCACAACACCTCTGCACATCCTTCCATCCCCTGGACAACGGGCAGGTCTCCCCCCTCCCTCTCCCCCCCCGCCTCTCCCTCACTCATCCAAGGGTCCTGTCCGAAAGAGTGACGAAAGCTCCAGCATCTCAGGGCGTTTAGTAAACCTGGTTGGAGGCTCTTCCGTGAGGTTCGTGCCTGGGACGGGCTCAGCTGCTGCCCAGGGTGTGACGTAGCAGGGTCCACACTCTATACAGATTTGGATTTAGTGGTAAAGGAACTAAATAATTGGGGGGGGGCTCTCGAGGCATTCCAGGGGCGTTCCCTTTCCGGCACAGGAAACACAATTCTCCCCTGGCAAATCTGGGAAGAGCTCCGGGACCCAAGCGCAGAAGGCGGGCTCCAGTTCAGAACCTCTCGTGTACTGGCTTGGATTCCCTGGCAAGGGGTCCCTCGTGGGGGGCGGTTGGGGAATAGCTCTCCTCCTCCC